AAAAGGAAAACATGGGCTCTTCATGTCGTCATTTGAGATCGATCTTTTGTCCAATTGGCGAATTCGAAATTTCATTTTCACCGAGATAGAACAGGAAGAGGTTGAGGGCACTAACCAGGAGATTACAAGGACTCGGTACTGGAGTTTGATTGCCAATCCGTGTACAAAAATGCCGGTAGAGAAGGTCATGTTCAAAGTTCAAGGAATTTAAGAGAGATTAAACCCCAGATAAGAGGGCGCCACTTTTCAGAGACGAAAGTGAGCGCCTTCACCTTTTCCACCCACTGCTATTATACATGGATTAGTACCAAGTTTCGTTTAGAGGGGGAGGGATTATAACGGCGGAGAGAGAGAGAGAGAGAGAGGGGAAATTGATGTAAAATAATTTTATTTTAGAATGATTTTGTTAGAGAGAGGTTGGAGAAAAATAGTAATCTTGTTTGGTAAGAAAATGAAAAAGAAGGAAAAATAAATAAAAATTAAACTATTATATATAATAAGGATAAAATTATAATTGAATATATTAAAATTTTTTCTTCCCTTCAAATTCTTCCATTTTTTTGAGAGAGCAGAGGCTATTTAAAGTTAAAAAATTTTCTCCCTTCATATCCATCTTTTATAGAAGAAGCACCCCGATAATGGTAGGGGGTTAAGATTGGACCCCCAACCTGTATATAATCAATATCCTAATTGAGCTGAAAAATCACAAATCTACAAGTCCAAACAACAAACAAGAATAAAAACAGAACCATAAAAAGAAAAAAAAAACAATCAAAAGGAATAAGTCTGAGTCTGGGTTGACAGGTGCCCATGCGAGTAGTCTGCATCGCGAGTGGGCTAAACCACAAAAAATACAAAATGACTACCCAAATTTGAGCGATGAATAGTCAATTTGATCCATCTGCACAAGAGTTCGAAGGCAGAGAGGAGCATCGTCCGGCTGAAAAATGCGCCTTTGGGTGGAGATACGAATGCAAGCGAGGAAATCAGCAGGTCGGTTCCCCTCGCGCAGGGGCGGATCCAGAATTTTTTTTTTTGGGGGGACTATATATTTTTTAATAATCATAAATTTAATTTATTGTACATAAAAAATAGAAAGTTGTATTATAAAATTATACATAATAATGGTGCAATATAAATTATAAAGTTTCAAACCTTAACATTAACAAATTAACATTGACGAATACTCTCTCAACTCATGAATATCATTAATGATTGCCTCCATAGTCCATACTAATGGTTTGATATTTTTTCTTTCCAAGCATATCTTATATGGTCTTCTTTCAAAAAATATCAATTTTTATTTTTTCACATATTTACTATATATTCAATTTATTTAAATTAGAAAAAATGTTATGCAAAAATGTCAAAAGAGTATAATTGCAGTTGAATTATTAGTAGAAAGAGTAATACAATTACTATTTTTACATAATTGTGTAAGTTTATTTGAAAAATGATATACTTATATATATATATATATACATACTAAAAATTACAAATCTTGGGGGGGGGGGGGGGGCCTAAAGTACATATAGATCCGTCCCTGCCCTCGCGGAAGATGTGCGAGATCCAAGAGCGAACCGACTGAAGTGTGGATCTTATGCGCATGAGTTGGAGCTGAATCTGCCACGAACCTTGGTGGCCTGAAGTCAAGAGCGTGGCGACAGCGGCAACGTCCAGTTCTATCCAAATATGAGAAGAGATAGAAACTGCAAACTGAAGACCGTTCATATACAAATTTTCTAACCAAAGAGAAAATAAAATAAAATAAAAAAATATTTTTCCGCCCTTCCCCTTCTCTCCTTTTTCCCCAACCAAAGAATACGTCATGGTCCTTTTTCCCCAACCAAAGAATACGTAATGGTTTGGTTGGTAGGGAAAAATGGAGGAGAAAAGAATATATGGAAAGGGTTTTTATTTATTTATTCAATTGTTTGGTTGAAAAACTGAAAGAAGAGAAGTGGAAAATTTTTAAGTAAAAATCTCTCTTTTCCTCCATTTCCCTTCCAAAATGGGGGATATGGAGTGGAGGAAAAACTTTTATATGTTATATGTGAATTTGCTCTTCTACTCTTAGGGCCTGTTTGGTTGAGCTGACAAGTTTATATTGTTTGGCTGGGTTTCTGATAGCTTTTATATGGCTAAAGCCCACATGTGTATACACTAAATTATTATGCTCATAATCCACAAATTCTCCAGATACAATACTGAGCTCTTATTCCTCAAATCTTTATTTACTAAAATACCCTAAAAAACTTGATTATGTCTTATTTTTGCTCCCACATTTAACACATTTCTTTTCGAGTTTCTCCGGCTCAGCGATTGCAGAGGGCTTGTCTCTCGACGAAATCATCCTAATCATTCTCCCTTGCTTCTCCACACGATAATATCGTCCCCCTTTGAGAATTTCCCTAATTGTTTTCTTGATTTTTCGTTTGTGTTCACCCCCCCTTCCCAACCCCTGTTCGTCAAATTTTCACCCTTTTTTGCAGCGTTGTTTTTTAACTTTAACTTATGTATATAGTGGATGTTTGCAAGATACAATCTTTCGTCATCATTTTAGCCTTTTTTAATGAAATGCAAGTAACCAGCGTAATTTATTTCGTATAATTATTTTTATTTTTTTTGTCAAATTTGAGTTTTAGATCTAACTCTTTCTCCCTTCGTGTTCACAGATTCATGTTTACAGCTCATTTTGCTAGCTACACATCGTGAATTGCCATTTTTTGACTCACAACAAAGAATTAATTCAAGGTTTGAATTGATATCTATATCCTCCCCTTCAAATTTTATTGATGCATATGGGAATGCTATTTTGATATATAGCTGAAACATAGTTCATATATTCATGCATGGTTACTTCATATTATTTGATATCTCATTTTTTTTTTTCATTTTTGCTTTTTGTCGTGCTATATTACCCAAGCACTTCTTAAGAATGACCAAGATTTCCAAAACAAAAGCTGAAATATTTCTTCTTGTAGAGAAAATGATGAACGAGCCAGGCTTTTTTATAAATATGGTCATTAAGATGCAAAGGAAGAGTCGTAGTGCTTTTACTGATTCTAATGTCAGAAGAGTTAGATACATGATGACAAATAAAATCCCTAAGCAAATTGAGCATTTGAACAACTTGGTGGCACTTAATGAAATGGAATGTTTGGAGAATGTGCGAATGACCAAAAGCGCATTTTGGAGGTTGTGTTACATAATTTATAGTGTTGGAAGTTTGTATGATTCTAAATATGTTTCGGTAACTAAGAAGGTAGCACTTTTGCTTTCAATTATTGTCCACCACAAAAAAAATGAGAGTAGTCAAGTTTGATTTCAAGAGGTCTAGCTAAACAATAAGCATTTACTTACATGAGGTTCTAGCTGTTTTTTGCGTCCTCAACTAATTCTGCTTGTAAACGTTCCGTTGATAATACCATGGACTACATATGAAAGTGGTTCAAGGTGCACATAGACAAAAGATACCATTTTCTTTATTATGAAAGAACTGTTCCGTGTGTTATAACAAATGACACAAATTAATAAATTATTGAAACTTTTTAGGGATGTCTAGGTGCTCCAAATGGAACTTTCATTGAAATAACAGTACCTGAGGTAAATAAGCCAAGATACCGAACAAGGAAGGGCCAGGTAATTGTTAATATATTAGGAGTTGTAGACTACAATTTAAATTTTTTATGTTCTATGTGGGTGGGAAGGTTTTGTCGCAGATTGTCGAGTGTTACGGGATGCGGTAATCGAAAAATTCTACGAGGTAATTTAAAATAAAATAGAGTGATGTTTTGACATTAACATATATGCGAATGTTAATTGAATAATGAATTTAAATACATCTTTTTAAAGCAGGTAGTTACTACCTTTGCGATAACAGTTATACGTAAAGCTGTCAAAATGGGCCGGCGGGGTGGGCCGACCTATAGCTCGCCAAAACCTCCTATTGGCAGGATGGGGCGGGCTTGAGAAAAGCATGCTGAACCTGCCCCGCCTCAGGCCATGGATTCAGCGGGCCAGACCTGCCTATTTTATTTTATTTTTTATTTCTTAAAACTCATTGTAAGTGTAATTGTAATGGAAACTTCAAAAAAGCATGCTTTAAATGAAAGGCGGAGGCTGGATTCGGTGGACGCATGCGGAAGCAGAGGCCAAATTCAGTGGTCACAGGCGAAGGCATAGGTTGGATTTGGTGGTCGCAGGCGGAGGCCGGATTCAGTGGTCGAAGGCGGAGGCGAGGAGACAAAGAAGGGAAGCAGTGACCTGCGAGGCTTCGAGGGTTTTGTATGTGTAGTATATGTTTTTGCCTTCCATTGTCTAAATTTAAGAAGATTCTACATAAAAAAATGAGAGCCCTACACACCCCTACGTCCATATATTTCCAGATCCTATCATAGACAAAATTGAATTGAATTGATTTTTTAGTTGAGAATCTCTTTGCCCACCTGTCGCCCCCTATCAAAACTCTATCTCAGCCCCATAATATAATTTATTTTTAAATAGGCGGCCAGCTCGCCTCAGCCCGCGACCCGCGCGGGCTGTCCTGTTTAGGCTTGCTACCTGGTGGGCCTAGAAAATACATGCCCAACTCGCCTCTCTTGTGAGGCGGGACGGGCCGGTCCACAGGCCTAGGCCCGTTTTGACAGCTCTAGTTATACAAATGGAGATGGGTTTCTAACCCCTTACAAGGGAGTAAGGTATCATTGAAAATACTGGGGAGCCAATCAATTATCACCCCAGTCATCGGAGGAATTTTTCAATATGTGTCATTCTAAAGCAAGAAATGTTGAATGTAGCTTTCGAATTTT